AACTCATCACGTGTTAACAGGGTCACGTGACTTCCGCTGTCGTTACAATATTATAAGTGTTTAAGTAGATTATGATTTATCTCTTCTGACGCTTTGGTTGTTTTATGACTATAATGTAAACAAGTTACTATATAAAATAAAGGAGAAAAAACGAAGTTAGTGTCTGTTTATCTAATTACATCACAAAGTATGATTTATTTCTAATGTAGTCTACGATTAAATTAAGGAAACTGGAAATAAATAAATAAATAAAACAGAATCTTTAAACATTTTTACAGTCAGGCTAATTTTTGAAGAGATTTTACATGATTATCAGATTCAAGCTCTTTTCATTAGAGGTCGCTGTTTCCGAGGGAAATTTGATGAAAAGTTGTAGCCCTTTATTAATATTTTCGTTAAAAAATTCTGTTAGTATTATTATTAGTTTTAGGTAGTTTCTTTTGTAAGTACAAGTAATATACGCACATAATCGTTTTCCTGTTTTAGTGAAGTGGAGGAAATGGTTCAGATTTTAATTCGAATGTGAGTATATAAAAATTAAAATTAACTTTATTAAGCTTACGCCAAGTTACGGTTTAAGTTTAACATAGACTGATACTGATATAGAGGAATTGGAATGATACTAGAGTAGAAGTTTTTCGTATTACATTATTTTGTAGTATTAGTTATTACTAATAATAATACCAGTATTTTTAATAAAAGTAATAGTATATTGTCCCTTATTTATACACATTAAAAACAAATATGGAAAATTTGCCACATGAAATTCACTGAGACAGAGAGCGATCAAAGATGTTATATATAATAAATTTCACTAAAAAAAACGGTACTATTAATTCTTTTTTTTGGGGGGGGATGGGTTAAGTAAAAATATCAATGTATGTACAAATTACAATATAATGATTTTCGTATGTAATTACTCATAGTTCTTAACACTACTAATATTGTGCTAACACAGATTCTACTTGCCACCAAGTTTTTTGTGGTAGTACTGTAAACCAGACATGGGATATTCGTATTCCAATGTAGCTTTTTGAGTATTCGTACTTGTATTCGAATATTTTGGTAGGGAAGATTAAAATATTTGTATTCCATGGCATTGTAATCATATCTACTGAATGATTTTAAATATTGTGAGCAGACTATTTCTACTTCAGGAAAAACTACTTCTATTTCTAACCTACTGACACATCTGAAGGTAAGCCTTTTTATTATTTTTGTTAATATGAACTGTATTCTACATAAATTATACAATATAATAGAGGTAAACTAAATTTCTCATGTGTGTTAAAGTATATTTTAAATTTTTTAATCATTTTCATTTATTTAGTATTATATGTTTTTGTTATTTTACTATAAACTATATTCTATATTATATAACTTAGATATTTATTTATTATTATGAACAATATTCTATATTCTATGTTATGAACTATATTCTATATTATGAACTATGTTCTAAATTTCTTATGTTTTGAATTACATTCATCATTTTTGTTTATTATTCTATGTTATATAACTGAGATACACTAATATTTCTAGTGCAATCATGAGGCAGAGCTACAGAAGTCTACATCTGGCTCTGGTACTTCCATCCAAGTGCAGCAGCCTACAATAGCGGCGTACTGTACAGAATCAACTAAATATAAACTTATTCACCCTCGTCAGAAGCACATCACTAACAAACCTGTCAATTTTATTGCTGGTACACTGCAACCCTTCCCAGTGGTGGAGTCAAAAGATTTTCAAGATCTAATGGTAGCCATGGATTCTTTCTATATTCTTCCCAATTGATAGAGAGCAAGTTTGATGAAGTCCAATAAAAAGTCATCTCTCTACTGCAACTTGTACCCACCCAACATTAATGTCACTGTGGATATCTGGAGTAGCTGACAAATGCTCAACTTTCTTGGAGTCACTGATCATTTTATACTTGACTGGAAAATGCAAACAGTCATGCTAGCATATTGTTTTTACAAGAGGCATCACACATCTGGTAACATTGCAGCTCAGTGTAATGAAATAATAAATCTCTTTAACATAAACAACAAGGGTCATATGTAACATCTGATAGTGCATCCAACATAATCAAGACTTTCTACTTGCCTGAGTTTGAATCGCAGACACTACCTAGTGTGAGAGATAGTGACAGCTCATTTACAGATAGTGACTCGGAAGATGAACTTTTGGATGAATCTAAATCAGCAGACAAGTTATCCAAATTTCTTCCTGAATATGGCCTCTGCTTTTCCCATACACTACATCTTGTGGTCAGTGATGGCATGAAAGAAGTTGGACCACTGTTGAAAGTAATTTCCAAAACATAAGCCATTGTGTCCTACATTTGAAAATTAATGCCAGAAACTGATCTACTTGAGGGAGAGGACAACAGCTACTGAAGCTTTAAATCTGTATTAGAGTGTTATCAGTCACTATTAAACTTGTGATCCAAATTATTATAACCTTGCATTTACTATAATTAACAGTCATTTGCCAAGTAATGAAGTATATGTGCAAGTTGCCAAGTAATTCCATAGTACTTCAACATTCTGAGTATAGCTATAACTTGGGAACAACAACTTAAGTGTTTCCAATTATTACTGTTTTTGATCACCCTAACAGTCAATTAATTAAAATTGCAACATACCGATTTTCAGAAAAATAATCAACTGATCAAAATTATAGTTTCCAGTTACTATTTTCTATTAATCCAACTATTCAAGTAATCAAAATATTGTTGTTATGTTTGTTTGTTGTTAAGGTATTTCTAGTCCATTTTTTTCACCCTTTTTTTACCCTTTTTTGAAAAATAGATATTTGCTACTTTAAAATGTTAACTTTCAGTTTCTGCAACACATTATGTCAAAACACCCCTAAATATATCTCAAAATTTGTATTGAAAATCATAATCCTGAATTGAAAATTAAAATCTTCCAAGAGAAACTGGTCCTAGCAAAATAATTCATGGCAATTTTCCCAATTTTTATGACACAAAAAACTCAATGCAAAATAAAGTGGCTGGTCTTAAAAGACTACAACATTACTGAAACTATGGTGAAGTTAACAAAGTTTCAAGTTAACAGTGTTCGACATCATCTGATACTTCTCTGGCTACTACGTCCACTTCTTAAGTTAACAATTTTCAACACCATTTGATACTTCTCTGGCTACTATGTCCACTTTTTAAGTTAACAGTGTTCAACACCATCTGATACTTTGGCTACTACGTCCACTTCTTTGTTTTTTGCAAGTTAAATCCCTCACTGTAAGGTTTTATTTACTGCCAAAAAGTTTAAAGAGTTTGATGAATTTTTCCTTTCATTCTATAAAATAAAGAAATTTCAATGGCAAATAAGAATATCAGCAAAAAAAAATGAAGGTTCTATGGAAACCAGCACATTGACAATGCCTAAGTGTAGCAGAACTGAGCTCCATCTTGAGGATGAAAAATTGTTAAAGTAATGGAGAGACCTTGAAGTGATGGGGACTATAATTTTAATTGTGTTTTTCTCCATTCCAGCTTTTTCCCTACCTGATGAACATAAACATTTGTAATTTTGTCAAATTTTTATGGATTTATATTAAATTTTCACCTAGAACAGCTTGGAAAATATTGCAGGGAATAAACCAAAACGTTGGCTGTATTAAGTTACTCCCTAACTCTAAGAGGTCTGTAACTGGAGGGTTGATTTGTAGTGTTGAAAATAAATGCATTTTTTTGTTTTTTTTTTCTTCTGTGATAGTCTGACATTTGTTGTGTTGGGTTCTTGCTTCTTCTCTCATGTTAAGTAGTAAATTAATGTATAATTTAGTTGGGTAGTGTTATTAGTTTTCAAGATACTGTGTTTTTAGATAATCTGAATCCAAGCTCATTAATATGTGCATAGTAATGAATTAATTTGCATAATTGGAAGTGAATTGTTTTGTGTTACTTTCAAGCTCATCAAAGTTTGAGGTTCTTAGTTTGCCCTAGACTCCCAAACTAGTAATGCGTAAATCAAAGGGCTATAAGCACCTTAAGCACAAAGCTACATAATGGGCTATCTGTGCTCTGCCCAATTTTAGACCTACAAGTTTTTTTTTGCACTTCAAGTTTGTTAAGCTTTGGGTGTTTAAGGAGGGATAGCTTTTGGTTCGTGGGTCCAGGGCTAGATTCCTATTGACAGTAAACCTGTTTGCCCTGTCTTTGCTATAACAGAGTTACTAAAGCTATCTTCCACTATCATCAATTTTGAACTACTTGCTAGAGAGAAGGCAATTAGCTGGTAGTACCCAACACTAACATTGATCTTATATATACTATGGTTTGAGGAACAACCCTACTGATTGGTTAATAGGGCCATCAATTAATTAACCTTCAAACACCTCTAACTGCCCAACTCTAGAGAAGAGTGTAGATGAAAATAGTTTCTCGTTTGTTATAGTGTTGTTGTGTGGAAGGGTAGTATGTGGCATACATGTGGACTTGTGCAGCAATTATTAAATATTTTGTGTCTTGACGTGTGTATGAAGTATGATAATGGACTTCAAATAACTGTGAAACTATAATTATTGTATATTTGGATCATAAAAATCTCATTGTTATACAAGGAAAAATCTTCAGAAGTAAATGGTAGTATTGAAGCCACAGTTATTTTATTGATCATGAAGTACATACAATTTTTGAAAGAATCTTATTTCAGGCTCAGCCCAAGTCTATTGTTATAGATCTGTGATGTATTTGTCATTAAAGAATTTTTGATTATAAAAGTAAATTTAGCAGCATTAGAAACAGCTGCAACTTGAATTCACTGGTATCAAAATAAAGGTTATAATTTGCTTCACTTTTATAAATGTGTCCATGGACATGTAGTTTTAGGAAACAAAAAGTATCGTTACGTCTCTGGTCGTTGGTTAATTTTCTGTAGAAATCCTTTCCAAAAAATAAAACTTAGCGATACAAGTCCTTTTTTAATTGAAATTAGTTTATTATTTCTCAATTCAACTTTGCAATACACTTAATTTCCACAATCACTTTAACTTAACCCGATGACTACTGGTACTAACTTTCTTAGTAGGCAATGCAAGTGTGCATTTGTGAATTGAAAAAATGATAGAGAACTTATCTTTTAGTGGATTTCTGATTTTATTTTTATAAATAGTAGCATAACATTCAATTATTTGTACAAAATTGTATTCTTTAATGAAGTTTAAAGAGGAATTTAATGAAAAAAATTCATAAAATACGTTTTAGACTGTAAATAAGTGCACTCTAAGAAGATATGT